TTTATTTGATACGTCCAATCCTTTATATAAAACAAAATAAAAATATATTTTATTCAATTTTTTCTATTTTTAAACAGATGTAAATAATCAAATACATAAGTTTTTCGTCCTTACTACCATCAAATCCTGTTCCGAATCGTTATTTTTTTTTATATTATTTTATATTTCATATTCTTATTATATTTGTATTCTTTTATCGATGAAGCATCACTGTATTCGGTCCATTAAATTATATTTTGCCTATGTTGTCCAATTTTTCTCGTAAAAATTCTCATTTATCTTAATGTTAAAACAAATAAGGAAGTGATCAGAACCCTGAGTCATCATACACAACAATATCAATTTTGTCAGAAATATTCAAAGTAGGGAATAAGAGATCAATATTGCAATTAAAATTTTTGTGTACCTTAATATATGATATAAGAGTTATTAGGAAATCTACTACCATTGCTATCTGAATATTTGCAATTCCAATTAGAATCCTAAGTGTTAAAGTCACCTGCCACAATGCAGTTACATTTAGTGTCAATATTTTGAACAATTAGATCCCACTGATCTTATGTAAGAGTGAAGCCTGGAGTTCTATAGCAAACATATATATTCAGTCCTGGCTTTATATTATTTAAACAAAGAGTTATAATTTAATATAGTTTAAATAATGTAACATAGTTCACATTCTTCACATAGTTCAATTAAGATGTCAGATTTAATGTTAGTAATTTGCCTGAAAGTCATGTTTTTGCTGATAAGAATTAGAATTTCACCACCTTTTAAACGAGTTCTATCCTTCCTGAACTCTATGAATTGTGAGAAGCTAAAGTTGTTCTTGTGAGTCAGCCACGATTCAACAAAGATGAGGCTGTCATAATTAACTAAGATGAACTGAATTTCCAGACACTTAGAGTGAAGACTTTTTCAGTTTCAGAAGAAAACTCATAACGATGTAATAGTTGTAGCTATGAATAACTTTAATCTAATTAGAGTCTCCTTCTAGAAATCCTCACTGACATCTTCTGGATAAGAACTGTTGAGGCATTTGACAATTCTTGTGATGAGGATTTTTATCTTAAGTTCTGTAAAGAAAAAGAAAGCATCTTTATGGTATGCCCCATGTGTGATTTAACGCTGCTTTCAGGATTTTGTCGTGCGTGTCTAATAGGAACTATAGACAACTTTGAAAATTCAGTGGGTGATTATAAGTAGGATCCAAGATGTAATCCTTGACAGACAACAATAGCAAGGAGATTTCTTCTAAAAAAGTCTCTGCTCTGTTAGCTATTTTGCGTTTCTTGATTTCTTTGGTAGAAACAACTGCTTTATATCATCTTTGACAATATTCAAATCACTAAAAGAGTTGTAAAAGCTGAAATCAGTAAGCTGTCTCTCTTAATGTATTTTGGTGGTGACAGGAGGATGGTTTCTGATGTTTTCAGCTTGCAGTTTATGTATCTGGAATAACTGTGAAAAATCTGGAATAAAAGTAATATAGGAAAAGATTTTGTCCAGCTTAAACAACTGGATTAGTAACTACTTCGTTGTGACATGAGAATTAAAAAGCAGTGGCTGAGGATCAAAGTTTTTGTAGAATTTAGCCACATGACTTTCTTCCCTACACAAGAAGCAAGTTACTTTTTCTGCTGATAGATATTACTTTTCTGCTGATCCATTACGATGTATTATCATAATTTATTTAGACGAATTTCAATATGTTACGTACGTCTTTAGATTGGGTACACATCTGACAACAAAAACTCAAGGTATGTATGTATGCTAAATCATTTAAACCTGCTCTAATGAAGGTGATCTGAAAGATGAAAGATGAATCTATTATTTCATCTAGCAAGCTTTTCAAACATGATCGACTGCAAAATAAAACACACAGAAAACATTACGTATTTGAATTTAGAAATGATTGGTTGAATTTCCAAAGAATGAGATTTAATGATTACTTCCATATGATTGTCAGCCGTGTACTTATTATCCTGGTATAAGCAAACTTGAAAAATTCTGGATACAAATCTGATATTCGACGAGCCGATAAATTATCAATTTCAACATTAAATTCTTGAATTAAAGACCTTCGATAGAGTCTAATATAACTGCTTGTTCTGATCTATGGAATTGTAATTGTTAAGCAGCTTGAGCGTAAGAAAGCTTCGAAAGACACATTTTGAACGGGAAAATCCATGATTTAAGGTTAAGTACGTTAAGGTTAAGTGCCTCTGTAGAAATATTTAAAGAATAGCAGATCAGCGATTAACTAAGAACAGATTTTGCCCAGTAAACCAAAAAAAGAAAGAATAATAAAGAATAAAAAATACAAAAACAGAATATTCGTATAAGTAGTGGCTAGCACCTACCGCCTGAGTTATCATATTTAGCAATGATGAATTATGAAAATTTTTATTAATACATATTATACAGTGAAACATAAATGGAACATACAATAAAAACTAAGAGTCTTAAACGGATGACACAATTTCAAAACTTGACACATGATACCACATAATTAGATTTTCTTTTAGTAATTACTGCAAATTAATTCGTGTTGAACATGATGGCGCCATCTACCACCAGTAAATTAGAAGTGCTACTTATTTTCAAAAATTTTTATTTGCGCATTTTACGCTTCAAATAGGGTATAAAAAGAAAGGTGGGGATTCAATTAACAGGACAAAATTACAAAAGTTAGCAATTTAATTCTCTAAATTAATTTTTTTCGCAAATGAAAACTGTTTCTGCTTATGGGGTGACAAACACTAGCACTGCGCTGTAGCGAGATAGAGGAACTAAACGTTATATGTCCGTAATAAAGAAAATAATTAATTTTAATTAATTACACCAATAATTTACATTTATTACGTATATATTTTAAAGATGATGTTATCGATTACGTTCACAAACAACCATGACTCCAATATTCAATATAATTTGCGAGAAATTACACTTCACTAGCAATGAATTTTCGATCTACTAAACAAATTTAACAATTCAGGCACAATTTCAGAAATTGACAAGTTATTCCTCCTGATTAGAGTTTTCATACTATTTGTGCAATCAGTCACAGTTTAGATATGGCACAGACAAAGTATATGAATAGAGATTGCATGACCATGTATTTCCGCGACTATGGTAAAAGATCGACATAACTTTACCATTTTCGTATCATATCCTGTTGTACCGATCTTGCGACCGCAGCATTACTAGTGAGGAAGATTAAAATTAAAAAAATATGAACAGTGCTGCCAGTCTGTTTCGAGAATTATTTATTGGATTGAATGGATGATTGAATCAATGAAAGAATATAAACAGCGAATTTAAAACAGCTACTAATGGAAATTGGGATGAAAAATTTAGTACATATTTGACTATTAACACCTATTTAAAAGTATTAGAAAAGATTGACTGAAATATAATATTCTTATAAACAACATAATTAACACTACGACGTTTTTTTATTTACAAATATGTAAATTTACAACCTGAATGAATTATCTTTATCCCGTAAACTCGATTTTATGAAAATTTTAATTATTAATAAAATATTTCTACAAATAATTCGTTTACAAATAAAGAAGTACATTATGTATTGTGAATTACTTCTTCCAAAATTCATCCGTTTCGAAATTTCGAAGTCAAATTTATTTAATTCAAGGAAAAAATATCTTTACAATACATTCATTTTAACCAAATAAAACCTAAAAACTGTAGAATTATTGACTGCTATAATAGAAAAAATATTTTTGGAGGTCAAAGACTATCCACCTAAGGGTTAAGCAGTGAAAAAGGTCATTATAAGTTGAACCTTT